ACCCTGAAAAGCCAATCCGAGCGGCGACCGCAGCGGCTGCAAAAGTCAGAACCAGGGGCCTTGAACAGCCTTTGTCAGGCCTCTGGCCCGTGTCGTGTGAGGCTGCGAGGCCAGAAGCAAAGTGGGGCTCAGAAAGGGGCTGGATACGTTCCCGGAGGGCGGATCCATCAGTGGCCATTGGCCTCGCCGGCCAGTGCCCCACGCCCAGGCCCTGAGCCCTCTGCCTAACACAGGCTGGGACTGGACACCAGGGAGGGATCACTCGAAACCGCCCTGTCCTGTTCCTCCCCCGAAACACCTGGCACTGGCAGGGAGAGGACGCTGGGCTGGATGGGCGGGCGCTGGGGCGCCGAAGTCCTCACTGCGTTGCCGTGGAGACCGATTCTCCCCCATCCCCCAAAATCTTCACTCTCTGCCGGCAGCGGTTAGAGGGCCCGGCCTGTGCTAAGCCGCCTCTTGGCCGGGACACGCGCGAGAGTGGAACGAATCCAGCGGGATGTGATCTGGGAAGTGGGATCGTCCCCTCCGGTCAAACGAGGGGCGATTTCACGGAGCTGGGGTTTAAACGCCTGGGCTCCCGTCTACCTAGCCCGGCCTCCTACGGAGTTAGTGGTTTGTCTGCTGCGCTGCCCCATAACCCTCCACGTGGCCATGGCTGGAAACAGAATCTGCCCGTCACGAGTACACTGCGGCCCGAGACAGTGATTTCGGCAATAGGAGGAAGGGGGTTAAGGCTTCCTCCAGCCCAGAGCTCTGGAGCGGAGACGCACTCACGTTCCATAGATAAGGTCACCCTCCTCCCCCAAAAAATCAAAGAACGGCTCCTATTTCCTACAACGGCCTCCCCTGCCGGACCCGGGGAACGCCCCGCTGTAAACAAACCGGGGCGGGGTAAATACACCCACCCCCGCGGATTAAGGTCAGACTGCCGTTCAGCTGGTTGCTATTTCTCATGATGGGGATTAATCCCAAATCCTGACCCACTGGTGCAAACCTGGCAAGCACCACAACTCGCAGACTAACCCCACAGCGGAGCTTTTGTTTGGCTCGGCGCCCGGCCCTTTAAATTACGCTCAGTTTGCAGGCTAGATCCAAGCAAATTAGGCCTTTGAGGGGGTTTTTCAACTAGGAAATCCAGCCAAGCCCCTCGCTTTTCACCCAGCATAATCCACAATCTATTTTAAGGCTGGTCTTTTTCCAGGCATGAACAAGGCTTTCAGTGTTTGTACTAATAAGAATTTGCTATTAAATGTGATTTTTAGAGGGCCCGTCTTCTCTTCCATACCACAAAGCCAGGTGATCGGCAGCTCATCTTAAACAGACAAGTGCAGGGCTGCTATCTTACAACATCTTAGGTCTTTATGGTGAAGAATTGCAGTGCTTTGAACACTGGGGTAAGTGCAAGTGGAGACAGGGCCCACTGTCTCACAGGTGGCAAACCCTACCCTGAACGTCACTGGATCACAATCAGACCTTGCAGCCATGAGTTCCACAGGTTAACCTCGCTGCATTAAAACCACATTTCCTTTTATCCACTTACCACTTATTATCTTTCAAATGTCACTGGCTAGTCCCCTGGCTCCTGTTTTAGGAGAATGAGTAAAGAGCAGCCTCTAACGTACAAACCCTCCGCTTCTGGCTTCCCTCCAGCCCGTCTCCTTTCCCGCCCCCTCACTGCGCCATATGGCAGTCTCGCCACATCTTGGACAATTTTCATCCCTAATCTCCGACGCCCACTGCTCCCACCGTCTCCCTTTCGGAAGGTGCCTGGGTGGGGACACGGCCGTGCCCTGGAGCGACAGGGTACCACTGCAAGATCTGCTGCCTTCAGGGCGAGCCTGGTGTTTCTCTGTCCCGTCCCAGCGCCTGCTTTTCGGACCACGGGTGCTGGCGTACACCGAGCCGTTCCCTGCGTGCGAATCCAGCCATGCCGCGGGGGCGTGCCGATGTCTTTCCCATGTGCATTGCTTTGCATTTCAGTGGCCATCGCGCCGACCTTGCCTTGGTAGCACCTCCCCTCCTTCGCCAGCCCCGATAGATACACCAGCGCCAGGCCCCCCTCGCCACGCTGGGGCACCCCACCGCAAGCCCCCTGCCACGCTGCACACGGCCCGTTCGTCCGGCTCTGCTTCCTGCCGCTGCAATCCAGTGGCTGGACTAGGACCGGGGAGACACATTCCTGGCCAGAGGACCCGGCTCGGAGACTCTCGGCAAGTCCCTTCCCTTCCATGTGGCTGCCCACAGGGGCTCAACTGACCCCGGCTACGCAAGAACGACGAGGGCAGATGTGTCCCCCCGGGCTCCGAGACCCCCTCTCGGCCTGGGGATCCCCCTGGGCTGCAGCACAGCGCTGCATTTGCTCCCGCCGGACGCTCTCCAGGGTGCCTGGGAAGAAACACGAACGCCTGCTCTGCAGCCCCCTGGGCCGGGTGTCGCCTCTGGACTGAGCAGCGCTGGGGGGGCAACAGGTGAGCCGCTTGCCCAGGCCCTGGGCCGCGGGGCAGGTTTTTCCTTCACTTGTAACCGGCAGCTTCTACTCGCTTCTACTGCACGCGGCCCTCGAGCGTGGGAGCCGCACGGCGGCCTGGTGTCCGCCGGGGGGGTCCGGGCGGCCGGCGGG